TGAAAGACAACAACCACTTGGGACTTGGGACATTTTGGGGCTCCATTTGAAGACCTGGATATTTGACTTTTCAGCAACCGCCACTCGCATGAACGAGTCATACTCGGTCAGCAATCCAGAGCGCCAGAGCGCCTTTTTTGGGCTGGAAGTCTGGTGTCACTTGTGCCAGGCTGAATGAATCGCAATGATGGGTTTCGACTACCAATGATACGCAGAAGCAAATCAAGAAAACTCTTCCTTGGTCCGAAAATCTTCCTTTGCACTAGAAGGCCTATAGCAAGAACTACAGTAAATAAATGTGCCCCCGTTTCTTCCTTGAGAGTGTCAATTACATGTGTAGTTTCAGGTCAATCATGAATGGATAACACTGTATCATTTGGGTGCATGTCAAACCAAACACCGAAACCACCAAAACCTGGTAATTATATTATAATATATAGAGATGACCTCCCTTTAGATTAAAGGATGACTATAATATACTGTAATATGACTACTTAGATGTTTAATTCTGAACTATTCTGCTCATACAGGACGGTCATCAACCAAGGTCCCCGGTTTCGGCAAACATCCATTTCACTGCAGGAACAAGAAAACACAACAGGTCCACTCCAACTCTGCCAGGCTCCCGAACTGCTGCGCAGCCAACGCCTGCCAGGCGTCACCACAACCCCTCCCGGTGGTGTTTTGGGGGACTTGGACCAACCCTGAAAAAAGCAACAGCTGAACAAAAAGGTTGAAGGATCCAGTAAAGGGTGTCCTTTACCTCATCAATGTTAGTTTGGCGTTTCAAAAAGAAACCAGCGAAATGATGGACTTGACTTGACATTGACTTGCACACTTGCACAGTGCCGAACTATATAATTGTGCCCCTGGCTTAGCAGAACCTTGCTTTGTCAGCACCCATCTGAGGATTGATTGTCGCACCCCGAATCGAGAGAAGCATGTTTTTGTCTTGCTCCGTGGTCAAAACATACAAACTGCTGGCAGAAACTAGGGGCTCACCAGCTCACCATTGTTCATGTTTGGTTTGAACTGGCTGACTGATGTATCATCGGCTCTCCAAACATGTGACCCTCGAGTGAGTCGACAGAACATCACAAGCAGTTCCAAACGGAACAACCACTGCTCACCCCTCAACCAGAAGTCTGGGCGAGCCCTTCTCCAGTAACAACACCAGGATCTACTTGGGTCTGTCTCAAAGGGGAAATTTCCTTTTCCCTAATCTACCAGATGATGTCCAAGACTTTCCCAAGCCTTGGAGACAAACGACTACAGTAATTAACAAATTTTCCCCTCATCATCATCCTCAACTCTTGGAGATTCTTTCAGATCTCATCATTGCAGGGTGGTTACTTTAGGTGGGTGATTCCGCCTGCCGCCAGATGCTTTATTTAGGTGGCTGACTCCGATTCCGCCAGTGGCCAGATACTTTGGTGGCTGGCTGGCTGATTCCACCGGACACTTTGGTGGCTGGATTGCTAATTCTGCAGGATACTTTGCTGGTAGGTTTCCTTCCTTCCTTCCTTGCTTGCTTGCTTGCTTGCGCGTTTGCTTCCTTCCTAGCCGTGTGCAGGCTAGCGGCCATTTCCAAGGCCTACCGTCCTGCCATCTTTCTTTTTAAGACGATGCCTGTCATGTTTTCAGATGTCGTGCAACTTCTGACGGCTGGGGCTGGGTAAAAACACGCTTCATCAACCTGCACTATCTAAATCAAACAATATCACAAAACCATCACAAAACCAACACCACTCCAACAGCCCGCCGCACTTCAGCGCCAAAGCTTTTTCCTGAAGTAGGTTCCACTCTTTGGAACTACCCATTTGGACTGGAGAGCTTGCGTCTGCTGGGCACGCGCTGCCTTCAACTGCCGCAGCAGGTCTGGAAGCTCTGGGGTGGACAAGCGCTTAAAATGGTGCCTCACTTTGATGATGGCAGGCCCAGTAGCCTTGATGCCTGTGCGCTGCTTCCACCTCAAATACTGAACGCGCATTCCTTGCAATACACATGAAAACTGGTCTCGATTGGACCGCACCTTCACTCTGCACAGGGCCATCTCAGCACAAGTTTTACACACACACACACACATTCACGTGAAATATTTCACGGCAACGACCTCATCATGCTTTTTCGCACAAGAGGGTGACAAGTTCCAGACGTCTGCTTCGGTTGCGCAATCTATGCTGCGCGTCATCGCGCAGTCACAAGTCTTACATGAACTCTGCATACGCGCCTCAAGATCAACCATGTTGCTTAGCACTTTCCGCACAAACAGTCTATATACTACAACATAAATCTACTATATACGTCATTGTGCGATATGCTGTCGGCAAAGTGCAAAGGCCCAGCTCCAGCACCCACCCTCAAGGTCTAGAACTACTTTCCCATCCCATACGCGCATTCCGTCACCTCCCTTGCAACAAGTTGGGTGACCTGTCAGTGCAGGTAAGCATTAATAAACCTGCCTCCCAAGAGCCGTGATCATGACTACGAACCGTTTACACAGTAAGCATGGTCCACGCCAACCTGTGTACATATAACTTTGCAACATCTGTACGGCCATTCCTCTGCATATGCTCGTGACGCATGAGCTCTTTCCCTGCTCATCACCTCCAGTCATTGGGAAAGACCTCAACTTGAACTTCAACCTTTGATTCCATTGTACCAATGCAAAGCCCTGGCCCTGGCGTGCCCTTGAAACTAGACCGACTTGAAGTGGTGGAGGACGCGGAAGTCTGAAGCGAATCAGCCAGCCAGCCGACTAAAAAGTATCCGGCGGAGTCAGCCAGCCGGGCCAGCCAGCCACCAAAGTATCCGGCGGCTGAAGCTGGTCTGCAGCGGTTCACAAAGGATGAGACATTTGAAGATGTGATTGAACCAGCGGGACATGTCAATCTTTGAGTGCAGAGGAGTTTTGTTTTGCGACATGTGCTTGGGCAAAGGTGTTGCTGACTGTGCGCGTGTTGAGTGAGGCCCTCCAAGCCTACAGTGACAACTAGCATGGAAAGGGTCTAGAAAGGTTTTATTTTTATGGCTTTTGGCTTGACCGACTCAGCAATCGTTAGAGATGTCGTGGAGTCTATACACGCAAGTGCGCTAACCGGACTGGCGAATAGGGGGAGGCTGTTCTAACTTCCTATAGTCTTCTCGCCTTTGCATTCTTCATTTTGCACGAGCAATTAGCCACCTATCAAAGTATTCGGGGGAATCAGCCAGCAGCCTCCAAAGTATCCGGCCGCTGGCGTAATCAGCCACCAATCAGCCATCAACAGTATCCAGCGGCTGGCAGAAAAAAAATTAGGCCCGGAATTTCAGGGTCTATACTCTACGACTCTGTGCAATATCCTTCCACCGGCGTCACCCCATCCACCGACTCAAGTGCTTTTGCCCAGATCCCAAACCGCACCGATGGGCGCCAGTAGAGCTCCAGAGATCAGCTCCGAGCCAAAGGAAAAGATCAGACCTGCCATGGTGAAAATACATTCCAAAAAGACCTGAAGAGTCCAAACATGGAAGCTCAGTTGACTATTGATGTGTAGAGTAAGTGTTTTTGTTTTAATATATTGTCATTTCAACATGGTTGCCATGTGTAAGCGCAAAGGATTTGGGCTTTGTCTTTTCCAAAGGAGAACAACAACCTGTGGATTTGCAAAGCGTAGCTATGCAATATCTTAACATGTGAAAAACATACATTTGATTTATGTTTGCAAGCTCGCTTGACCATGCCTACATGGGTAGGACATGGTAGGGTGGAAACTCTAGCAATCCATGGACCACCAGTGCAATCTGTGGCGCACCCAGAAGGACGGCCAAGAGCAGTGCGCCAGCAATCAAATCGCAAAGGCTGGCCTGGCCACGAACCAAACCCGAAGGCTCGAAGGGACCCAAAGGGACCCCAAGACGAAAACATCTGTTTGTGGGATCCATGTGTATCGCGAACACCCCGAGGCAAACAAAATCAAACGGATTGATAATCTATATAAAATCACAGAATGTGCATGAATGTGCCCTGAAAGTTGTCTGAGCCTCTGAACCAAGCCTCACAGTCAAACATCAACACAACCTAGTCTTTGCCCGTGCTACACTGTTGCCAGGCTTTTGCCCACAGATCAATACAAGTATTTAGGGAACGAAGCGGCACCTGTAAGTAGATTCCACTTCGCACATTAGGGTTGCAAGTGTCTGCAATTTGTACATGCACGCTGCACCCAGCGATGTTACATTCTTGGTGACATTTGCTGATGATGAGAAAACAATCAAGTATATAATTTGGGTTTTGACTTGAGCAGTGGGTAAGTTGCCTCGGTAATCTACTGTGGAATGGACTAACACATATACTAAAACCTGCTCTTGAAGCTAGCTCTCGACCAGTCCGAGGAGCCAACCAATCTTTTTCTATTTTTTTTTCAGAAGCTTCTTGGTTTTCAATGGTTTTCTCATGTTTTCTCCCTCGTGATCTGACCTAGCGCGCCCAGCCATTTCCTTGATCGCTCAGGATAGTCGCTAGTCAGTAACCAGCTGAAAAGGAGCACTTGCAACACCCATGCAGAAACCCCCAGAACTTTCTACCCGTTTGGATATGATGCTCCAGTCTTTGGTTCAGAGTCGGGTCTATCAGAGCAGCCGATACTATCTTCTCTTCTGTTGCAGGGTGAGGGCTGCCCCTGCGAGATAAAGTTGCATCTTTTGGATCCAGCCGCAGTCCGTGCTTGCCAGAAAATCGTGCAAACCTATACAAAATGGAGGACATCAACACGGTCGGCTTGAAAATTGGTTGCTCCTGGCTCTGTTCTAAGCCAAACCGATTGCTGCATCTGCCCAAATTCTGGCACCTTCGAGCTTCACTGTGCAACATCTATGCGAGTCAAAGTCCGGTTCTCCCTCTACTCTAAGTCCCCAGTGATCATAGTCCATCCCTGGTCATACTCAGCTTGAACCGACAGCTTCTTTGCTGCACAGTGACGCCATCTAAGCTGCGCAGAAGCTTGCGCTCCCAAATACCCTCATACGTCAATGACATTGCCAAGTGAGACACGCTCATCCCGTAGAGGATCCAAATCTGGTGCTAACAACTTGGTGTAGCGATCAAAGTAGAGGGCCTCACCAAGAGGGACCAAAGCATGAAAAGCTTTGGGAGTTATGTGTCGCAGTCCAGCCCCGCTCACATCCGCAGCTCTCAGTCTACAGTGTATACAGGGTGGTTATGCTCGAGGCGTCTGACATTCTGTTCTTGACCAATGCGTGTACAGTGGGGGATTCACTGAAGCAACTCAAAAGACTCTTCAGGCATCCAAATGAGACAAGTGAGTGAAAGGGAAGCGCTTTCTTCAACTCCAACTTCCAATCATCGAAACTCGGTGGCGTGTGCGTTTGGTCCCAACTTACACGACGTGTCTATATTGCCAGAAACGTTTGGGTTTCCCTGTGGTCAAGTCTGGGTCACCTTTTGGTGGGCGAATTCGCCCAGCTTAGCCTTATGTTCACCAGAGGTGGCCTTATTCTAGAAATCATCAAACTGAAAAAATAACAAAAACCAAAAAAGCACCAGCAAAACAAAGAGCAACCAAGAAAGCAAAATGAAAGCAAACACAAGCAACCAAAAAAACAGCACAAGCAAAACACAGAGGGCAGTTTGCGGGGGGCGGGTAGGGTTAGTACTGGACAAGGGTCTTTTCTGGTGCCGGGTCACAGGTCGCACCTTTGGTCGCTTTTTTCCAGCGCCGGGTCAGAAGTCGCATTTTTTTCATTGTTTTTTCTCCGGCGCCGGATAAAGTCGCACTGGTCGCTTTGTTTTCGCTCTTGTTTCGCTTTCGCAAAAAACAATAAACGAAAAAACACGCGCCCAAAAGTGCAACTTTTTCCCGGCGCCGGAAAAATAAAAACAGGGAAAACAAAGCGACCAAAAGTGCGCCAGAAAGTGGACCCTTCCAAAAAGTGCGCAAGAAAGCCCGGCTGAGTTGTTTCATTTTTGCTTGCAATTTGTTTGTTTTTTTGCTTTTATGATTGATTGCTTTTGTTTTTCTGGTTGCATTTTGTGATTGTGTTTTGTTTCTCGTTTTCTTTTTTCTCAAGATGATAAACTCCTAGAATAAAGGGGTCTGGCAGACATAAGCTTAGCCATAAGCCTAGTTCCAAGTTAGTGACGTGTCACTTTCCTTCAATGGGGAATGTTGAAACTTTTCGGGTCCAAATTCAGCATTCAGTGCAAGCGTACTCCAAGTCTTTCAAACAACAGGCCCCCCAACATCTTTGCAACCGTCCCTCTGCTTGGGTATCTGAAACAAACACACATCATCTCATATACGTGACCTTGCATGTGTCTCCATGATACTCCATGAAATCATGTCATCCCAACAGCAGGTTCCAACACAAGGACAACAAATCAGTACTCTCCTGGTCGCCCAGCTATCGCCGGAGGTCCCAGCACCATCAACACCCGCTTGCGACTGGTGCCTGTTTCACCAGCAGGGCAAACTCCCTGGGCAGCTTCAGACCGTTGGAGTCAGCCACGCGGACCACCTCCAGCAGTAGCTCTGTGACCTGGTGATGATGGGAGGGCAAATGAAGCGGTCCCGAATGGATGGACAGTCTTTCTAGGGCAAAGAAACTGGCAGTTTGTGGTTCGTTCATGTTTACAAAAAAATCCCATGTCCGTCGGGCGGGATTTTTAATGGTGAGTTCCCAGATGTTCTTCAAGAACGAACAGCTGATCGCAAGCACACTTCCAAGAGCATCAAAGGTTCTCTTGTGATACATTGCGCAAACCATCCAACCAGCCCTTACTACTAGGAACACGGACGCTACTAAGGCAGCAGTTCGCTCCTCCGGATCCACCCGCCTGGTCATTGTCCAACGCCACTTCGGCCACGACACGGCCATCACCTTTGCCTCGAAGCACCACCTCCGGTTCCAAACCAGCGATGCGTCCCAGGACAGAGGCCACGTCTTGAGCCAAGGAGACCTGGCTAAATGTGGTTGCACTGTGGAAGGAAAAGCTGGAGAAGAGGACTGGTGGAGTAAACTGGAAAATTCGAGGCCAACGCATGAGTTCACCTTGAAGATTTCATCGTCAGCTCCTATATTTAATGTTAAACATGCTGGTTGTCGTGTCCCACCATCTACATTCAATGCTCAACATATCCCACAACCGATGTATCTACTGTAGAGAAAGATTTTTGAAGCCAAGATAATTGAATTCCTATATCGAAAAGGCAGGCCCCAACCAAACTCGTAAGGCAATTTCAAGAAACACGATCATATCATCTCTTGATCAACCTGCAAAGTACCACACACCAAGCCACACGGCTTACACCAACCCAAACCATGTGACCGGCTGTGGACCATATTCCGGGATGCTGCCTAGTGGCAGCTTGGAGGGCCTTTACCAGCCACCGTATGCTATAGTACCAAACACAATCAAACACACATGCTTCAGCCATGTTGGCCGGCGGCACACGCCAAAGGCGGTTAAATCGGGCCGCAACGACAGTCGTCTTCAAAGGCCCGTGGTGCGAGATATGTTACCTGAGTTGACTTACGTTATTAGCATTTTGTGATTCTGCTTGCTCTGAAAACAGAAAGGGAAAGAGAAAGATGAAGAGAACGAGGAAGCGGCAGAGGAAGAGGAAGACAATAAAGAGGAAGAGAAAGTGAAAGGAAAAGAGAGAGAGAGAGAGAGAGAGAGAGACAGAGAAGCATGAGAAAGCGAATGCCAAAGACATGGAGAAAAAGAAGAGAAAGAGGAAGATAAACACAAAGAGAAAAAGAAAGAGAAAGCCCCTGTCTCTCTCACCGATCCCTGCTTACACCGCCTCCACCCTACAGTACCTGCACCCTGCTTACACCTCCGCCTACCACCTGCTCCTGCCCTGCTTGCCTGCCCGGCCCGCTCTTAGGCGTAAGCCGTGAAATACAACTTTGAGTCACCAAACCTCATGCCACACAACCCAGCACCTCATCCACTGTCGCTTCAGTGGCTCCCATGGCAATTAAATTCCGTGCCATACCAGTGGCGTCGTTGCGGGCGAAGGCCACCACTAGGCCCTCTACTGCAGACCAAATCTCTGGTGGGATGCGACCTCAGGTGGTGCTTGTGATGGAGGCTGGTGAGAACCTCTTGACATGAGTCACTACAATGTGCGCCAATCTCCAAAGGACTGAAGGAATTCAAGGTTAAAAGGAGCATGTACGATCTTGGTGCTGTTTTTTGATCGTATGCGGCTCTTTCACTTCCGACCAACTTGGGCCCAAAGCGTAGGCCTCGGAGAATCCTTTTCGAGGGAACCGAATGAACTAATCCCATCGGTCTGAACCGAGCAAACGCATCAGATGCGCATCAAGCCGAGCGACCAACGATGCCAAAGTCGATAAAGCCCACACGACCATCTTGCAAGACCAGGAGGTTTCCAGCATGGACATCCGCATGGAAGATCTCGCACCCACGGACAGACATAGACCAAACATTCCTAGGTCTTAAAAGTGACACAGTGAAGTACAGTGAAGTACTTTGAGTTTAAAGGCCACAGGGTTCATGCAATGAAAGTGGGAAGTTGAAAACTCGAACTATAGAATGAGTTGTTTGGGAATCTTTCTATATTTCATTTGGATTAGAATAGATTAGATTAGATATGTTTGGTGAAAGCCTTCTTGCCTTCTTGTGGCACAAACACACATATATATATATATACACACCAATCAGCAACCACACCTTGTCGGCCTGAGCTGTTCAAAAACCAGAAAACAAACGAAAACGAGTCTCTCCATTGTATTCTATTTTCAGATATTTTCAGTATTGGGGAAGCAAGTCTTGCGATGCCGAAAAAAAAGGTATTCATCAGCTCTCAGCTTCAAGGCGTTGATCAGGGTTTGCTCTGGATTTCGGCTGTTCTGGCTGATACCTTCAAGATCGGTGAGAGGGACACCCGTGAATAACTCCATCGTCAGGACCTCAAAAGGGCTATCTTCAATGTGTCCTGTCGATTCCTGTGGTGTCAATCCTTTTCTAAGAAAATTTAAAACACGTATATCTCCAGGATATTGAACAAAAGCAGGACATGCAAATAATTTAGACAGTGTGGCACCATATGTTCGTTGGCTCGAATGTGCTTGGGTCAATTCTATCCCATCAGGGCCTTGCTAGAAGAAGCCTCTGGGAAGGTTCTTGGAGCTGCTGCGATGTCCTCCAAACCATTCTGCCGCAAGAAGCGTCGAAAGGTCTCCACATTGTCGAGCTCCTCAGGAAATGTGTTTCCTAATCAAACCTGGGATGCCTGATGTCTCGTTTATATTGGTGCTGCTGCTACCACTTCCGAGACTTTACAAATAAACCCTGGCCGCCCTGGTCCAAAGACAATCGGAATAATCATTGAATCGTAGACAATGTTCACCAATCCGATGATTTGAGCGTTTGCTTCACCCACCCAAAAAAAATATGGATCCATCAAATGTTCGTTATACAACTATATATATGACATCTCCTAGCAGCCCTAGCAGCACCAACACCTATTTTCCCACACATTCTGCATCCACATCTGAAAAGCCTCACCAACATGAAATCACCGCTCCTTGGTGAAGTCCAACTCATCCAGCATGGAGGTGCGAATCTCAGAGACGATGTCCACCAGGGAACTTCGAGCCTTGCGGGATCATCAGAACGGGTCGCGTCTACAAAAAATAGACCAAAGACACCCTGACGCTCTTCAGCTTAAGTTTCTGAAGCTGATGAACCCCGGAGAGCACCACATCAACTGTGACAGAATAAGCAAGTTCCCCTGGTCGGCTATACAATGCTAAGGAAGGATATAAGGTCACTTTAGAGGACATGCATCTCAAGCGCCCCATTGCCATTAAAGGTATCGATAATGCAATGTCCATCTAAACTTAAACTTAAACAATTAACAAGATGGAACCCACGAACCCGAATGGAAACACGTTCGAAAAACTACATATGTCCAAATGACACTCTTGTAGGACACTCTTGTGGGACACTCTTCTGGGACACTCTTGTAGGACACTCTTGTGAGACACTCTTGTAGGACACTCTTGTGGGCCACTTGCAAGACACTCTTGTGGGACACTCTTACACGACACTCTTGTAGGACACTCTTGTGGGACACTCTTGTGGGACACTCTTGTGGGACACTCTTGTGGGACACTCTTGTAGGACACTCTTGTAGGCCACTCTTGTGGGAAACTCTTGTGGGACACTCTTGTGGGACACTCTTGTGGGACACTCTCATAGGACACTCTTGTGGGACACTCTTGTGGGACACTCTTGTAGGACACTC